CACATAGGAGAAAAAAAAAAAAAAAAAAAAAACAAATAAAAAAAAACAAAAAAAAAAAAAAAAAAAAAAAAAAAAAAAAAAAACATAGGACGCGCGCCCAAAATAAGGATCCTACCGCGACCTCGGGGCGGGAATCTCGTGTGTGTCGTTGGCAGACATGGTCGAGTGTTGTGTGTGCGGGAGAGAGAGGAGAGTTGCGGTTGCGATGTTAGTGGAAGCGGTAGTGACAGAGGTGAGCAGTGGAAGGGACAGGACGGGGTGGTTGCCAATGGAAGACGATCGAAGCCATTGGAAGTTGTGTGGGTTTTCGAGAGAGGGGATGGAAACTATTTTGAATCTAGTTTTTCTCGGCGAAGATCGTATCCACCGTCGAAAAGTCACAGCCACCAACGCGAAACGAGACTGTCAACAGCGACGTAGACGTGACTGCTACGAGTCGTTAACACCCACGGCCGGCGGAGCGAAGCGAAGTGGGTGGCGTGCTACTTTGTTAAGAGCTCTGATGGCGTGGACACAGTCGGAACCGACCTACTCTTTTGATGGCGCGACGACGGTGACGACCGGCGCCCGTGTACAAGCAAACCACCGTGCTAATGGGCACGATGTAGTGAGTCAGATGTGCGGTCCGTCGAACCGTTGAGCCATCGAAGCGACCACTCGGGCCGACAACCAAAAGCAGCTCACATGTTGCAGCGACTGGTACGAGTCGATTCGGTGGGCTGTGAACAGCTGTGAACACGTGCTATTCACAGCCGACGGAATCGACAACCTGAGCAGTCTTTTTTCGCAGGAAGGCTGGTTCTCACAGCACTGTGGTAGACACGGTAGGGGTATTCCCTTCTCTCGAGAAGACATCTGAATGGACCATATGTAGGCGGTGGGTAGGGATGGGCTTTGTGTGGCGGTGGTGGTGGTGGTGGTGGTGGTGGTGGCGTGTGGGGCCGTCTGCGAGGCCGTGTGGGTGTGAGGCTTGGAGAGCACTTACAACAGCGACCGAGGGACGGGCATGGACATGGGCATGGGCATGGGCACCTGAACTGGACAGGCACGCGAGAACGAGTACCCTTATGGTGCTGGTGCTGGCCTGCATGATGGTGCAGGCGCTGTGGGTTGACACGGTAGGCGCGGCAACAGTGACAGTGACGACAACGGCCGAGCTGACCAACGCCATCAACAACGCTGCTGCGGGTGACGTCATTCAGCTGCAGGGCGGGACGACATTTGCGTACTCGGGCATGACGCGGATCACTTGCGATGCAGATGGCACGGCCGCAAACCCGATCACGGTCCAGGGCCTGTCGGGCTCCAAGCTGACGTGGAGCCACACGTCGAACTACATCGAGGGCTTTGTGGTCGAGGGCAAGCACTGGCACTTTCGCGATCTGGACATCCAGGGCCTCTGCACCTCGGCCAACCATCGGTACTGCGAGCATGCCTTCCACGTGGTCAAAGACGCCGACTTTTTTGTCCTCCGCGACTCCAAGGTCGTCGACTTTAACGCGCAGGTCAAGCTCAACGGCGCCGGGCCCAACACCAACACGTTCCCGGACGACGCCCTCTTCCTCAACAACGAGATCTATGACACGGCGGGGCGCGCCACTTCGAACCCGGTGACCAAGTTCAACATTGATGGTGGCTACCGCCACGTGGTCCGTGGCAATCTCATCTACGACGGCCAGAAGCTCCAAGGCAACACCGTATCGTACCAGACGTTCATCAAGTCGAATGCTCAGTTTGGTGTGTACGAGGACAACCTCATCATCTGCTCTCGATTCCACACCGGCGGCGTCCGCATCGGCATGTCGTTTGGCGGCGGCGGGACCTCGCCCGACTCGATCTGCATGGATCTTACGTGTAACCCCGAGTCGCGCGATGGCATCATGCGCAACAACATCGTCGCCAACTGCAACGACGTTGGCATCTACCTCAATGAGGCTCGCGACACCAAGATCTACAACAATCTCTTGTTTGCCACCAACGGCATCGACGTCCGCTTCGCCACCTCGACCGCCGACATCCGCAACAACATCGTCGCCGGCGGCTCCATCCGCAACCGCAACGGCGGCACCTCAACAACCTCGGCCAACTGGATCACCACGCCCGCCAACGCGCAGACCGCCTTTACAGACCCGGACAACTACGATTTTACTCTCTCGACCGACACATCGCTCCGCTCTAGCTTTATCGACGCCGGCGAGGTCGTGGCCGAGGTGACCACCGACTACTGCGGCCGCACATGGACAGCTCCCCGCGACATTGGCGCGCTCGACTACTCGCGCGGCCCATGTGATACCACCGACCCCCGCAACGTTGTCGTGCCGCCCTCGCCACCGCCATCACCGCCGCCGCCCTCGCCCTCGCCGTCGTCATCGCCCTCGCCGCCGTCGTCGCCCTCGCCGCCATCATCACCCTCGCCGCCATCGTCACCCTCGCCGCCGTCGTCACCGCCGCCGCCACCGCAGGGCGGCGCCACCGCTGGCGCTGTCGACCAGGCTACTGCGCCCAACTCGGATTCGGGCACAGGCTCGACCGTCGCCGTTGTCGGCGCCAGCATCGGAGTTGTCATCCTCTGCCTTGTTGCCGTCGTTGTAGTCCTAGTCGTCCGCTCCCGGCGGCAAGGCTCGTCATCTGCCGAGTACAAGGCCGACGACGGCATGTCTTTCGAGCTTGCGTCGGCCGAGCCCTACACGCACAGCGCCTCGCTGCCGCCCACGCCTGCTGCGCGGCCGATGGCCGCAAAGCCCAAGCCGCTGCCCAAGTCCGGAGCTGATCCGCTGGCGCCCAAGCCGGCTCCCAAGCCGCTCCCGCCCAAGCCGTCCCAGACTCGCCGGATGAAGTTTGAGTTTACCGCCGGCGCCGACGACGAGCTCGCCCTTGCGGCCGGTGCAGAGGTCCAGATCATCGAGGAGTTTGATGACGGCTGGGCCGCCGCCTGCTCGGTCGCCACCGGCGAGCGTGGCATCATCCCTGTGGCCTACCTCGAGTGAGCCGACTAAACCCAGCTCCCTTTTCTCACCCGCCGTGCAGTGTCGAGATGAGCGTGATCTCGTCGCCCGGAGTCACAACAGCCTCGTTCTCGCCCAGCAGTGCCCAATCGGCGTCGTTGATGAGAACGAGAATGCCCGGACGGACCTCACCATCAAGCATAAGCATGTCTCCACGATCCTTGGCCACGAGCGTCTCGCCCATCAGCTCGTTCAGCACCTCGATCAGCCGCACGTTGTCTGTCTTGGCCATGTGCACGCTCACCTCGCTCGCGCCACCAAACAGCACATCAAGCCCGCCGCTGCAGCGCCCAGCCCCACATCGCCAGCCGGATCCATTGTCGTCGACAACGATGAGTTTGCGACCGTCCCTCTCCTTCGCTCGCCCTCGCTCGCCCTCTTGCTCTTCCACTCTCCCGCCCGCTACCATCCATCCACACACCCCACGTACGACAAGTGTACAGTCACGTCCATGATGTGTGCCTATGCGGATGGGTAGCCCTGAGAATAAAGTGACGAGCCAGAACACGAGCGTCCAAGTCGAGTGCTCGAGCCTACGACGTGAGCAGTGGTTGGTGGGCAGCGCCCGGTACGCCGCCACGCCCACTCCTGACCTCATCCGGGCACACCTGCGACTTGATGCGAAGCTGTCTTCTACAACTCCTAGGCGCCATGTTCCACACTGCCAGTGCATCACGGGATCGTCACCATCGAAGCAGAGATCCAATCTTGCGCATCCGTCGTGCTTCTCTCCCCAACACCGAGCATTGGAGACTTTGATCTAGTCTTGTACCCACCCACACTCTTTCACAGCCACCGATCCCGATCCGATCCCGTGCCAATCATACTCTTCCGACTCGATCCAGCCTATCATATCACCTAGATCAAAGCCGATGGCGACAGACAATGGTCAAGAGCGTGGCAGACGTTGACAGGCCAGCCCGGCCGACACGGTCACCACCTCAACACACACAGAGCTACTGGCACCACTCGACTCTGCCAGCGTCGTCTGTCTCACCCCCCCCCCCTCCACCCCCTCCACCCACACCCACCCATCCACCTCTACCCACATACATACACGCATACATAGGCATGCTTCGGTTCACACTCATCCACCGCGTGTCTGATGGCAACCCTCTGTGTGAGACCATTGACGAGGGTGACCGAGTACGTGACAAGGACCGAGGCAGGGGGGGCACGCACACACACACACACACATACATACATACATACATCATACATACATACACATACATACATACATACATACACATACATACATACATACATACACACACACATGACACATGAATCTAGTACAGTGGTGTGGTACAGGGTCACTCACATGGTTTGCCTCTCTCCCCTTCCTCCCCGCGAGGGAACAGACGGTGCAAAAGACGCTCGCGCAGTGCAAGACGGATGCAAAGGCAGTGATGGCAAAGCTGGGCGGATCAAACTCGGGAGGCGTTGGGAGCTACTCGGGAGGTGCCACGAGCAAGACTTCTGATCAGCATGGGAGTGTGGATACGAGAAAGGGCTTCTGCTTCCACTACCTTCGCCGGGATGACGTGGTGTATCTCACTTGCGCAGACAAGGGCTTCAAGTCTGAGCTCGCCCTTCACTTTCTCCACACTGCTGCTGATGACTTTGCTGGCCGTTATCCTGCCACTGCCGTAGCCGACGCCATGCGCCCGTTTGCTTGCATCGACTTTGAGCCGACGCTCGCCAAGGCGCAGACACGCTACAACCGCGACGCGGCCGATGGCAACCCGCAGAATCAGCAGCGGATCTCAGAGATGGAGGCCATCAACTCGGAACTCTCCGAAGTCTCGCACCTCATGTCACAGAACATCGAGGACGTCCTGCTCCGCGGCGAGGGCCTCGACTCGGTCTTTGAAAAGTCGCAGCGCCTCCGCCACTCTTCGTCCAAGTTTGCCAAGCAGACCAAGTACCTCAACTGGCTGGCCAAGTGGCGGACCTACGGCCCCTTTGCCGCCGTCGCCGTCCTTGTTTTCTTCTTCATCTACATTCGCATGTATTGGTTTTAGCACCCGCCGCCAGCGGCTAGCTTTGGCTGCAGACTAGGCTTCTTGCTGCTGCTCTTGCCACTTAGATCTCGCGGTACGCATCGGCGCTCTGCTTGACAAGGAACGCCAGCCCGGTCGACGCAATGTACAGCATGCCCGCAATGAAGCAGAAAAAGTACGAATACGAGGCATGGAGCGACACTTCCTTCGACCCAAGATTGATCTTCTGCTTGTACGACTCGCTTCCGTACACGATGCCGGCGTACAGAATCCACGCCATGGTCCCTGTCGCCGCCGCAAAGCCCGAGCCCGCCAGCAACGCCAGCGCACGCAGCGCCGGCGTCAGTCCGGGAATGGCAATGTCCACAATCATCAGCCCCGCAAGCGCAGCAGCTGCCACACCGCCCAGCAGTGCCATGATCATGAACGCCAGCGTCGCAGATCCGCCCGTCTTGAACGGGTTCGTCACCTCCTTGCCGTTCTGCAGGTACGTCTTCTTCTCGTACTTGTCGCTGCACATCCACGCCCATCGCCCCATCCATGAGTCAGCGAACCCGCTCCATCGTTCCCCGCCTTTGGATGCCATGCCGCACATGCGTGCCTGCCTCACCCATGCCTCCATCCACTGCGTGACCACGACCGCCTCCACACCATGCCACCTGTTGGTGCCACACAGGCCAGGTAGCAATCGAGACGCGCCTTGATGCACAAAGCTGCATCACCACCTCGAATCATGCCTGTGCTGCCTCTGCCTCCATCACGCGGCATGCGGTCGAACGCTTTCGCCAAACTAGCACATGACCGACAATCACGCAGGCCGCCAGCCCCTCCCATGTCCACACCACGAGCACCACCAGCATCACCTTCAGCCTCCACACACTTCCACATCCCTTCTACTACCATACTCAATCTGACAAGCTCATCACTTTGCATGACGTTCGTAGAGCTGGTTGAAGTGCATGGCGACCACGAGAGGTTCGGCTCTAAAAAAAATCCACCAAATGACCTTTGCGTGACAGGAGTCCGGCCAGAAGGCACGGAAAGGAAGGACCAGCGGGATAGACTGGTGGGAAGTGGAGCGGAGAAAGGGCGGGAGGGAGGGCGAGAAGGAGGGGGGGAGAGAGGGGGGGGGGGAGGGGGGGGGAGGGGGGGGGGGGAGTACGTACCAGCTCTTGCTGCCGCCAATCTTGGCGGTATCCTGGCAATACTTGGAGAGGCCATACTCAAAGTGGACGTCCGAGTCCTTGTACTCGGCCCAGCCAAGGGTGGCCATGGCGATGATGGAGAGCAGAATAGCTCCGGCGAGGCAGCCCGTAAGGGCAAGGAGCTTCGGGTTGAGGTTCATCACTGCTATGTTCTAGCGTGGCGTGAGGTGGTCGCCAATTGGTTGGTCTGCTGCTGCTGCTGCTGCTGTCGCTGTCGCTGTCGCTGTCGCTGTCGCTGTCGCTGTCGCTGTCGCTTCGCTTGTGTCGCCGTCGATCTGCCCGCCGCCGTCGATCTGCCCGCCGCCGTGCCTCCTCCCCACCCCCCT